AAAAATAATTTTAAAAAATAAAAGAAGACTAAAGGAAAGAAAAGAAAAGAAAATGAAATAAGATAAAATAAAATAAACAGTGAATTAACCTTCATCAACAAGTCAGATTAGTCTCGGTTTTGTTTGGGTTTTTTTGTTGGGTTTTTTTCTGTTGCATGACATTTTATGATTTCTCTTTTTACAAACATTTAATTTGCCAGCTCCCGTCACACATAGTCGCCAGTCTCCGACACCTCCCATCCTTTCATCTCTTCAAACAAATATCAGTCTTGCACAGGTATATCACAATTGGCCTGTTTTATTATAGATATTATCTAATTGCATGTGTCAGTTTGGCACTGTCCCCTTTAAATAAAAAAGAAGAAAAAATATTGTACAATATTGTGTGCAACTGCAACGAAAGAGTGTAACGTGGTCGTTGAAGAGAATAACAGGCATACCTCTGGAGAGTCTGGGGGTATCCGAAGGAAAACTACGGTGTTGCAATCATTAAAAAAACAAATCTAAATGATATGTCAATGTCTCTTGACATTTGGAAGATACAGAATTAGTTTGGTTTAGAATGTTAACAGGACTACAAAAATCGTACACCAAGATTCGACTTATTACTTAAAATAGGCACATATATTTTTGGACAGATTAGGACTATGGAGGAATAGAATACTTTCTAACCAACATGATTATTAATGTGAAGCCCGTAATTTTTGTGTTGGGCAGTTTTCTGATGGTGAATCAATCACTGAATTTAAGCAAAGTCGAACTTAATTATATTTTGTTCACTGATATTATCCCTGTAGCGTTCCCAGTAAGCCAGTGGTATGTATGACGTAGGAAATCTACAGAACTTTCTTTCAAAACAACTTTTTCTTCCCAGTCGCTACACTCAAATTCTGAAGAGCTTTCCTTCTTTCTGGGCGAATAAACATCTATGCTTTTTTTAATTAATAAGAACAATTTGCTTTGATAATAATTTTTTAAAAGTGTACACGTTTATTTATTATTGTGTTACTTATTAAATTCGATATTCAATATTTTATCTATTAATTTATCACTTGTTTAGTTCATTATTAAATTTGTTTTTCCATTTACTCATTGTATTGCTTATCTATGTTTTGTTTATCTATTATTTATTTTTATATTTGTTCAAACTATTTTTATTTGATTTCTTTTTTTGTTACGCTTACTTTTATCCTCACATTTTTGTAATTACAAGTGCCATCTAGCTTCATAAAGTGAAATTAAATATTAAAATGTTAATGTTCTCAAGCTGTCCCATCTGAGTCATCTTATCGTGCAGCGGTGGTTTGGTCTTTGTTTTTATTTGAGCCTCATCC